ATCATTTTTTTTTTTTTTTTTAGGATGTAGTCAGATAGTGACGAAAGAGGTGAGTTTTCAGCTGTCGCTTGAAAAATGTCAGGAAATCAGCATAGGGGTTGGAAGATCATTCCACCAGCCAGGAACGGTAAACGAAAATGTTCTGGAAAGTGATTTTGTGTCTCTTTGTGATGGTACCACGAGGCGTCGCTCACTAGCGAATCTCAAGATGAAAGAAAAGGGAAAAAGAAAAAAAATCATTTTTTTTTTTTTTTTTAGGATGTAGTCAGATAGTGACGAAAGAGGTGAGTTTTCAGCTGTCGCTTGAAAAATGTCAGGAAATCAGCATAGGGGTTGGAAGATCATTCCACCAGCCAGGAACGGTAAACGAAAATGTTCTGGAAAGTGATTTTGTGCCTCTTTGTGATGGTACTACGAGGCGTCGCTCACTAGCGGATCTCAGACTTCTGGAGGGAATGTAGATTCGTAAGAGTGAGTGGAAGTAGGCAGGTGCTGAGCGTCTGGCTGTTCTATATGCAAGCATCAGTGTCTTGAACTTGAACTTGCATACATATATACATACATAAACAATTGAATAAAAGCAAATTTAAGGATTTTTCAAATTTCCAAATTTAAATGCAACAAAATTTGGAGCAACTTTAACAATTATACATTTGTCTAAATAAAACTTGCCTCTAAACTAACTATTATTCTACAGAACTTCATCCTCTTTGTTTTGCATAAAAACACCAAACTTTATAATGTGATAAGCAAAAACCAGCCTGAGGACTAAACTAATGTTATAATTTTTTTTTTTTTTTTCACAAACTGAACTGTGACACATGAAATTACAAATACCCTTAAATAATAAAACATAATCAAAAATCATACTAAAAAGCAATATGTGCCTAATGTGGCTGGGATGTCAGGGACCAAAAAAATCTGTTTTGACATTTGCATGTTTGCTCAGGTTTCTAATTCTATATGCTTGGCATATAATCCAAAATTTGGTTGACGTGATTATGATGAAGTTAACAGATTCTTTGACACGAATTGTTCATAAGAACCGATCCACGGAATCAACTCAGGCTTCCCATGACAAGATGCAAACGGTTAGCAGTAGCCTTATTTTTTGCATATACCATCACTTGAAAAAGCTTAGCATTATATTCTAAGCATATAGAATTAGAAACCTGAGCAAACATGCAAATGTCAAGAAGCTGTGCACTTTAATATAAGAACTTTTAATTTGCAAGTGTGGTTTTATTGTGCTTTTTTTGTGTGTGTGTGCTATATGAATTAACTACATTTACTTGCTATAGGGTTATGGTTAGTGTTTGGATTAGGATTAGAAACTTGAAATGATGCATAATTTACTAATATCACTATAGTAAGTACATGTAACTGACACTTTGGGAATGATTTAATGCCTCTCATACATCCAAAAAAATACATTTTCTTTTCTTTTTCCAGACCGATCCTACATGCGACTGACAGAAAAAGAGAACGAAACATTACCTATAGATGTGAGTTGCAATCAAATACAAGACTCTAGTCATATTGAATCACATGCATTAGTTTTCCTCGATACAGTTTCTCTTGTGTTGTGTTTTCAGATAGTGTTACAGACTTTGTTATCGTTTGTGATCACGTGTTACGGCATAGTTAACATCTCAGGCGAATTCAAAGACATGGATGCTTCTTCAGAGCTCAAAAACAAGTAAGCAAATGTGTTTTTCTGAGATCGTAAAGTAACACATGGCTAAATCAGAAATATGCTGTTCACTTTGATACATTATGAGCTCTCTTGTGTCTGTTTTGCTCTAACAGGACATTTGACACATTGAGAAATCACCCGTCGTTCTACCTGTTCAATCACCGAGGCCGAGTACTCTTCCGCCCTCCAGAGCAAGAGCCCTCCATTCCCAGCGCCCAGGCCTTGCCCTCCAATCCCCTGCGGTTACGCAAGCTGGAAAATTATCATTGAGACTGGCCTTCAGTGGCTGCCTTGCCCGGTTTCATTTGTTTGTTTCTTAAATTTATTTGTTAGCTCCTCGGTTGAAAGGGAAAATAAGCATATTTTCCTGTCTTGTTGTATATGTGAATATGCTGTACAAACATGCATCTCTTGTGGTTACTATTTTGTCAATGGACTGTGCCAACTCCTTTTCCAGCTGATATGTTTGTAAATACTTGTTATCGCTTGGGAGTCTTAAGTCTGTAGGTTACGGCTGTAGCCCTCCGGTTGACTGTCGCACACAGGGCACGAATCCTACATGTACAATGTTGGTTTTGCCACGTTTTTGGCTGAACTGACCCTAACTGCAACCGGTTGTTCCCTGTCCCCGTCTGAATTGAGGACCATAAATTGTATTAGTGTTAAGAAGCAGTAGCTCTGATTACCGAACTTCGGATTTGAGCTCATAATACTGAAAATGATTAAAACTATTAAAACATGTCTGAGCAAGGCCACAATAGATTATGTAGATTAATAGCAATTTTAACAATACTGTGAACATTCAGTGGGAATGAATGGTACATTTGTTTTTTGAGTTAAGGAGGGGAGGGGCAATGTTCTGGTTTATTTCATGTCAAGACACAACTCCTTATTTTTACCTTAATAAATTCTGACATTTTATTGATGAATTTGCAATTTGGATGAAATCCATTTTTTTCCTCTTTATTTTGTAAGTACAGTCTATCCTGATTGTGTTTGAAACTAGACTAAACATGTTCATTTTGTACTATCGTGATTGTTATGCAATACTAAGACCTGCTAACTGGCCATAACGTTATGTTGCACTATAAACAATTTTATGTGTGGATTCACGGACATATATGGGTGTGGTACATCACCCTGGTTACCCATTGTTTTCTATATAAGCAGAGAATGGGCAGGTGAAATGGTCCGGTTTAAGCCTGTAATTATGCTAATCCTTCACTAAGCCACTTTTTTTTTGCTAGATGAGACTTGCTAAGTACCAGCAATGGCAACCCCCTTATCCCAGCGCTGTTTAGTCTCCTCTTCTGGTATTAATCGCTGCTTGTGTGACATTGTTTTAAACATGGAGATCATATTTCTTTTGTGGGATAATGTCTGTTTGTTGTCAGTATGACTTTAGAGTAGTTGCATTGCTTTGATATTAACATGAATCAAACACTTAGCTAGGCTAACATTTTAGGCTGTTATCTATAGTTGGTCAAAGGTTTGATCATGTCTACCATTTCTACAGCTGTATTTAGAGTCGTAGTTGCGGCAAGATGTTTGCATCATAAGTGCTTGTTATTTTTGGTTGTTTTTAACTGTAGGACACAAACATTGCAACATCATTGTGAGGCTGATCAAAAAAAAAACTTTATGCCATAATGTGGAATATACCAGATTCCAACATCTGCTGTGATGGGAAAATGCGTAAACTCAGGAGACGGCAACATGTGGTGCAAGACCCCATAATAGACAATCAGGTCTATTAATAACATGAGATACAGGTGTTAGAAGAGACAAGGCAACCAAATGCAGAGCACTGCATCAGTACAAAAAATATGACAAGATGGAAGCCAGCCCATTTCAAGATTGGAATGACTACAGCTGCTTACAGGGTGCATGCGTCTAGTGTTTTGGGATTTTCTAAAAGGATGAGAAGAATAAGTCTATTGACTTAGAAGATAAAGAACAAAAAAAAAAAAAAGTATAAAATCCAAAAGTCTCGTAAGCAGCTGATATGTACTTCAACCAAAGCATAGTTCATTTCAAAAACCTAAGTGTTCTGTGCAAAATATCAACATTAAAGATGTATAAAGCTTTATACAATATACATACACTATCATTCAAAAGTTTGGGGTGAGTGCGTTTTTTTCCCTCATACTCGACGAGACTGCATTTATTTAATAAAAAAATACAGTAATGTTGTAAAACATGACTACAATTCAATACATTTTCAAATGCATTCATTTCAGCATCATTACTCCAGTCTTCAGTGTCACATGATCCTTCAGAAATCATTCTAATATGCTGATTTGCATGACAAGATGGAAGCCAGCCCATTTCAAGATTGGAATGACTACAGCTGCTTACAGGGTGCATGCGTCTAGTGTTTTGGGATTTTCTAAAAGGATGAGAAGAATAAGTCTATTGACTTAGAAGATAAAGAACAAAAAAAAAAACAGTATAAAATCCAAAAGTCTCGTAAGCAGCTCATATGTACTTCAACCAAAGCATAGTTCATTTCAAAAACCTGTGTTTTGTGCAAAATATCAACATTAAAGACAGCTTTATACAATATACATACACTACCATTCAAACGTTTGGGGTGAGTGCGTTTTTTTCCCTCATACTCGACGAGACTGCATTTATTTAATAAAAAAATACAGTAATGTAAAACATGATTACAATTCAATAAATTTTCAAATGCATTCATTTCAGCATCATTACTCCAGTCTTCAGTGTCACATGATCCTTCAGAAATCATTCTAATATGCTGATTTGCT